AGTGTGTACTTCACAAACAATTCAACCTTAGTTTTATCAGCCCACAAAACATTTTACCACTAGAGTTTTGGAGTGACAAAGTTCGCTTTGGCAAACTTCAGGTGTGGACCCATTTTTTGTTGGAGACATGAAGCTTCCTCCATGGTGTCCTGCCATTGATGCCATGCCTGCTCAGTGTTTTCCATTCGGTAAACAGAGATATTCCAGTGATTCAGTAGTCATGTTTACATGCAGCCTAATAAACCGCTAATAATCCAACTAACAGCTCAATCGGAATAGAATACGCCCATGTATGCACCTCAATCGGAATAGACTAGTCCAATTGAGGCCATTCAGAATACAGTTTCTATCTGATTGAACGAGGTGGGTCTTCTTCAAGTCTTCTTTTTTACTTCATTGAGAACTCTGCATTGAGCCTTTGTAGTGATCTTGGCTTGGCGTCCACTTCCAGGGAGGGTAGACGCAGCACTAAATCATCTCCATTTACAGACAGTTTGTCTAACTGTAGACTGATGAACACCCAAACTCTTCGGCATGACTTTGTAACCCTTTCCAGATTTATGCAAATCAGCAACTATTAATCATAGGAATAAAACAGAGGTTAAGAAATCACTATTACCTTTCCTCTCCCCCCCTGACTAAATCTGAACCCCCCGCTGGTTCAGAGTTGATTCATTTATTCAAAGCTAAATCCCATTGAACTGAGTTCTAAGGTAAAGGTCTCATCATTAAGCTTAATCTTGATACGCTGCTGGATTTTCGAGCAATCAAATAACACTTTAATCACTAAGCTGGCATGCACCAGCACGGAGGGTGGTGGGGGGGGGGAGTTATGTGCGAGAGTTGCTGCTGGTTCAGAAAGCAGGACTCTGGCCGGCTGCCAGGTGCAGAGAATGAAGAATAGGTGTGTTTGACAGATGTAGTGGTCAGTGTGTCAGACACAGTGTCAGACACAAAGCCACTGAGGAAAAAAATAAAAACTGACCATCCGACCACAACAGTCCCAAAACCATCTGTCCACTCAGAGAGTGTACAGAGGGAGATCCTGATATTTTGAGCACTAGAGGCCTAGTAATAATAATAATAATAATAATAATAATAATAAACATTGCAGCTTTTATTGAATAAAGCATAGTTTAAAGTGCTATAACTGAGCATAGAAAACGACAGAAAATAGATTTGAACAAGGCGATAATAATAATAAATGCTAAAAAATGAAATAGTAATGCTCATAATGAGTACAAGAAGGAGTAATTTGTCAGTAAAACATTAAAGAAAGCTAAATTAAGTAAAATGAGATCAAATAGGATCAAATAGCTAATGCTAATGCTAGTGTTTAGACTCATTTTGCACTATAAAAATATCATATGTCAATTAACTAAATATAGCGCAATGAGTAAATGAGTTATATACAGTCGTATGAAAAAGTCTGGTCAAATTACATGTTTTGTTGATTTTCTAAGTGAAAATAAGTTAACACACCCTCATTTGACCAGGGGTGTTCAAACTTTTGCACACGACTGACACTGTCAGCACTCAAGAATGAAGTCAAATGAACAGCTAAATGAACTTGAAGCCTGGATAACAGCTATAACAGCTTCAGTTCCTCACTCTCAAACATCAGAATGTACAGTTTAATTTAATTTAATCACTGAGTATTAGCGACTAACATCACTAACTGAATAATAAGGGTTAAAAGACACAGAGATACACTGCAACCTGTAGTTATAAATCATCTGGGTTATACTGCCCTCTACTGGAACTGGGGAATACAGGCCTTGTCACCTTCTTGGATGCAGCCTAAACATGTATTTTGGAAAACATTGATTCAAACTTAGATTAGGTAAAAATATCAGGTGAGCAGCGGCTTCATCAGAAACAAAGCCACTAAAGTGCATTTTTGTGCAATTATTTTCGACGTTTACACCCTGTATGTTTTCTGCAGTGCTCTCCAACTTGTGTACTTGTGTTCTAGAATGCTTATCTAGTACTTAGAATCCAGGTCAGCATTGCTAGAGTATTCACCTCAACCAGTAAACCACCATGACTACACTACAATTAATCTGTGTGCTTGAAAGGCACATGTTTGTGCGCAACAACCCATATCTGATCATTCATTCCCAGAATCCCATTAAAGGGCCCAAATCCTCATCTTTTCTATATTTATTTAGTTATTTTCCTCTGAGGCCCACTTCTGATATCAGTGTGGCTTTATGTACCAAAAACATTGTAATTCATTTTTTACCTGATCTCTCTCTTTCCTTAGATATCTCTGTCTCTGTCCCTTAGAATTGAACAGGTTGTTTTTGTTATTGTATCTTTAAGACTGAAATATGTAAATGACATCTGTTCCGACTGGCTGCCCTGTGTTGTGTTTCTCACTCAAAAAGCAAGCAAGAAAGCAAAGATTATTTATAGAGCGCTTTTTACAACAGGTATTGTCACAAAGCAGCTTTACAAAAAAATCCGGGTCCAAGTCCCCATGAGCGTCGCCAGTGGCGACAGTGGCAAGGAAAACTCCCTAAGATTGAGAGAAAAAAAACCTTGTAAGGAACCAAGACTCAAAAGGGGAACCCATCCTCCTCTGGTCGACACCAGATAGCAAACAGCGTTAGTATAGAGTATTCTGAGCTGAAACACTCCGTATAACTTCGGCATGAATGGGTGGATGTATGTAATTATGTTGGTATATATGACATCACAAAAACAGCAAATTCAAAATGGTCTGTTTTGGTAGCTTAGTTTCCATATTTTCATTGTTTCACTGAGGAGTGAATGGTCAGTTTTTAAACTTTAACAATGTTTACATATCACATCAAGCTCCTTTTTTTTCCAAAAAACAAGACAAATTCAGTTTTCCGTGGTATGGGCCCTTTAACTGTTACTCAGACCTTTGAGCTGAGGCTGAAATCACTCCTGGTTGTTTAGAAATTCAAGTTACAGTTACGCTATCTTGTTTCTAAGAGCTTTTCGAGTGTTGAATTATACTATGATGTCAGGCCTACTTGGAAAAAAGTAGCATGTTGCACAAGTTTACGTTCGTTTTACACCCTGTCAGATTTACATAGCTAATATCCTCATATAGTTATATGAGAAGAAAAAAGGAATGACATGGAAATGAGTCCTAACTACTGTAGTTTTAAGTTAGTAATTAAGTACTTAAGTTGTTTTTCAAAAAGTACTAGAAATAAAATCAGAGCAAATCTATTTTTTTTACAGAATTTGAAAAAATTAGCAGCCATTCAAACTGTGTTAAATTTCATGAAGAATGGAGCGAAAGAGATGCTCCAAAATTAATTGGAAAAAATCTTTACTACATTAACTTCCATACCATTGTTCAGACAGGGACGAGGTAGTAATGTTTGGGTTTCCTCTTTGACACAACAATCCAGACAGAAGCCGACTTTTGTGTAAGAGTGACATGCTTAAGGGCCGTAAAAGACTCCGCCCACACCACCCAACCGCACCACACAAAAAAAGAATAATTATTAATAACAATGAAATGTAAGTAAGTAAGTAAAGTAAGTAAAGTTTAGGTCAGGTGAGTGTGAGGTTTGCACGACGAGCAGTGGCACCCGATCAAGGCAGAAGAGGCAGCAGCATCAGACGCACAGGATGGGCAGCTGTTCAACTCGGCAAAGAAAAGAAAGGAAAAACACAGAGTCAGTTCTACAATGGGTGATTGATTAATTTGAATTAGTTTAAATGATTGGTCCAGGTGAATAATTTTGATTAGTTCATGTAGCAACAGCAGTAGTATCAATGGGGTCAGGTTGTGAGGGTGAGGTTTGCACGGCGTTGTACAGCAGGAGGCTCAATGTTGGTAAGCCGGTCCAGAGGGCTGGCGAGCAGTGGCACCCGATCAAGGCAGAAAAGGCAGCAGCATCAGAACGCACAGGATGGGCAGCTGTTCAACTCGGCGAAGAAAAGAAAGGAAAACACACAAACACACAAATGCATTTTCAAACATCTCCCAGGCTGCTGTCAGCAACCCTAATAAGAATGCAATTGAGTTTTCACTGTAGTGTGTGTTGGGAGTAGGGCATAAGGAATAGAGCATAGGGCATAAGCAATAGGCCCTAAGGAATAGGGCATAAGGGATAAGGTCTAGGGAATAGGGCATAGGGTATAAGCAAAAGGGTTATTTGGAATGTAGCCTAAGGAATAGGGCCTAGAGAATAGGATATATGGCATAAGGAACGAGGAATAGAGAACAAGACCTAAGCAATATGGCATAAGGAATAGGGCATAGGAAATAGGGCATAGGGTATAAAGAAAAGGGTAAAAGGGCTATAAGGAATATAGCCTATGGAATAGAGCCTAGAGAATAGGATATATGGCAAATATGGCGTGAGGAGTAGGGCCTAGGGCATAGGGCATAAATATTACTGCCTAGAGAATCAGACCTAAGCAATAGGGCCTAAGGAATAGGGCATAAGGAGTATGGCCAAGGGAATAGGGCATAGGGTATAAAAAAGGGTACAAGGGCTATAAGGAATATAGCCTAAGGAATAGGACCTAGAGAATAATGTATATGGCATAAGGAATAAGGCATTAGAAATAGGGCCTAGGCTATAGGGCCTAGTGCATAAGGAATAGGGACTAAGGACTATAGCCTAAAGAATAGGGCCTAGGGAATAGGGTATATTGCATGAGGAATAGAGCCTAGGATATAGTGCCTGAGGAATATGGCATAGGGTTATAAGAAATAGGGCATAAGGAATAGGCCACGGAAAACAGGGAGTAGCCATGATCACTTCTGACTGATGAAACTCACTGTGTCTATTGAATCATGGGTGTCCGGTAGCCCAGCACAGTCTGGTCATTTCCCTGATTCAGCTGGTCATTTCCCTGATTCAACTCACCACTTAATTTTTCAATAACCAGGTTTATTTGGTGTGTCTGAGCAGGAAAACTAACACAGTGCGCTGGACTCCGGCCCTGCAGGACACCCTGTGAACCTGCGCCATTATAGAACTACAATACCCAGGATGCATATGGGCAGGACAGGAAGTACTTGGCCACGACCTTGGACTGTGAAGTTACGTGCAGCGGAGGCAGCATGGCGAGTAAAGATCCTGGAGTAAGTCACTTTTTACTCGAAATGTGATGTGAAACTAAAGCTGTTTTGTGTGTCACTTATGTGTTTATGTGTTTTCTAAAGCTGCCACGTCGTCTGCGTTTGATTTTAGCGGCTGTTCCGCTGATTTCCTTTGAATGATGGTGTTTAGCTGGTTAGCCCAGTGTTGCAGTCATGTTGCAGTCATGTTGCAGGAGGTTTATAATGTCAGTGCAGGGTTATTTCATAATCACTGTATCTTCCATATATATGACTTATCAGATGATATTTAAATTTGTATTGAGCTGATGACCCAGTTCTTCCTATTTAATGAAGATAATGAAGCAGTGCTGCTCTGTGTGAATTTCTCATAAACCTTTTTTTTTTGTTCTGATGTTAAATTCACACCAAAGGGAACCTAACACAGCATTTTAATGTTAACTAGACAGAGAACAGCCTTCCAGTAACAAAACACTGATAACAGTTTGTGGATTTTAAACACCCAGTGAATAACAAGTAGTACAATTAACTGTCAGGTCCTGGACAACATGAGTTTAAAAAAAAATAAGTAAATAAAAATTAATAACAAACTATCTGGCAACAGAAACACCACCATTTCACCATTACATTTATTATCCAACATATTGTGAAAAATATTGCTGAAACTTGCTGTAACTTTAATCTAGCAAATACCTGCACATATAGATTGACATCTGGTACATCTTCTATCATATATTGTATAATCTAGAAATATATATAATATATATCAATATTGTATCCCCTGCTCCTCATTTATCTACCTCAGAGTCACTAATTGCTTATATGGAAATGTGTACATTTCATAGCTTTTATTTCATGACCTATATTACTGTTACAAAACTGTACATTGGAAATAGTGCAGTACTGGTGTAAAGTAATGTGTATATTTAGGGTCTTATATATGTATGTATGTGTGTATATATATATATATATATATATATATGATATATATATATATATATATATACACACACACACATATAGATGGATAGATAGATAGATATAGATAGACACACACATGCACATTAGACCCTAAATATACACATTAATATATATATATATAGTATATATATATATATGATATAGTATATAGTATATATATATATATATATATATATTAGACCCTAAATATACACATTACTTTACACCAGTACTGCACTATTTCCAATGTACAGTTTTGTAACAGTAATAATATGTGATGTGACAATAAATGTGATTTTGATTTGCTTTGAGTTGAAACTCGTAAGCCAGACCACGTTGTTTCAGTACTGAAGTATAGACAGTAGTTCACTTTGCAATAAAATATATTGCTGCTGTTGGAACAAAACACTCATATCTCCAAAATGGTAACTTTTCAGGAGAAGGAAAAATCATTCTTAACTTTCAGTATAAGTTAATGCAAAGAGATTTCGTTCCAAGCAATTTTGGAGTGTTTCTATTGGTTCTTTCGTCATGAAGCATTAACAGAATGTAAATGGCAGCTGGTGTTTTCAAGTTATGTTTAAAAAAAAACAAACAAACAAACAGAAAAGAAAAACAAAAAATGGAGGTTTTAATTTTCGACTGCTAAGTTAGTCCCAGGTTAAAACATTGCATGCCTAAACGTTGCTCTGGCTCAGTGTATAAAATACACTATGATTTAAGTTTGTCCTTGCAAGCAAAAAAACCTTGCCTTGAGATCTCAGCTTAAGCCAGAGACAGGGTCTTTTTTTGGCATTTTCGATAAATACTTTGGATTCTTTGGCAGAGCCTTTTAGATTACAACACGCTCGCCTTAAAAAAGATTACCTGATTGTTTGTGCCTAATCTGGCTCAAAGTTTAATCTTATTATGTCTTGATCTCTGATCTCTGAACAAGTATTTGGACTGTTGTATTTTTAATCGACTTACGGAAAACTAAAGCATCTACAGGATTAAGTTTATAGCTTGTGTAATATGTTAGTGGACATGACTGCTTTCTGCAATCTAAGGAGTCAAAATCTTGTTACTTATACATTTTAGGCTACATAAATACTTGTAGCATTAGACACACGTACATTATTTTATTAAAATAACACTCATTGATCCTTAAATGTAGCTGTGAGGTCAGAGATTTACACTGTACTCTTCTTGATGTGATGTGTGCCTGAATGGGTTAAAAGCCGTCTCTTCCTCTTCTCTGTTCTCTGTCCTGTCCAGGGTTTTCTGCAGCAGCTGAGGCAGATCGCAGGCCGGATGTCCTCTAGTCCTAGAGGAGCTGGTCTGGGTGTAAAACTGCTTCTCGGAGCTGGAGCGCTGGCATATGGAGTCAAAGAGTCGATGTACACAGGTAGCACTGCTGCACAGGCATGAGTTGTGGTTATATTGAAGTTCTGACTTATGCAAATCAGGGAGTCAGTTAGGCGTAATTCATATTATAACACATAAGCACTATAAGATCTTTCCTATATGGATCGTTCCACTGAATTGGTTCGAAGTCAGAGTTGAAAGCACATTTTGGACTTTAGATCTGATTTGGGCTTCAGACTAAAATTCTTTTGCTTTGAGCAAAATACTAGTTAAACTACACCTTAATTATGTTTGTTATGTATTATTTTTGATTAAAATAAATGATTGGACCTTCCTTCATATCTCTACCAAGACAATCATAACACTACCGAAACTTTACCAAATGTTTCAGTAGTGACTGTTTCGGTAGTGACCATTTTAGCTCATTTTGAACAGAACTCGAAATCGCTAGCCAGTACATGACCAGCGAACACAGCTTTGAACAGTTGGACACACACAAGATCATAATATCTTTCATTAAAACACAAAAAGTTTACTTTATTGCAAACAATATGTGTTTCGGTAGTGACAATTCTCAATGTTCCACACTGATTTTCAGACATTGGGACACCAATCAATCAATCAACCTTTATTTAATTATTCAATACAGAAATCAGGGATTGAGAAGTTGGGTATAAAAATAAATCAAATGCTGTAATTAAATAATAAAAAATAATAAAAGTAAAATTTAATAATAAGAAGGTACCAATAAACTGTTAAATCAATAAATGATTAAATTTACAATATAGTTACTTAACAAGTAAAAATAAAAACATAAATTAATGAAATAAAAGGAATAGAAGATGTAAGACAATAAATCGACAATAATAAAATTAATAAAAAGAATACTAATAAAATAAATAAAAGGAATAATAAAAAGTAAAACAATAGCTAAAACATACCAAAAATCATATTAAAATCAAATAAAGCAAATAAAGTAGTTGCAGGCTGTGTGGAGGTGGTTAGTTTGAGACTAAAAGTTTAAAATGTTCATGTTCACATAAAAACAATGGGATCTAACTGTTCACCATGTGGCCATGAGGATACAGGTATGGAGTCTCACTTACTTAAAAAATGCAACGGTGTGACTAAAATAAAGCTGAGTAATATAACATAATATATGTAGTACAGTACGATGTACAATATAAATGATAGTATTGAGCTAAATATTTAAAAACTATCTCAATGAATGCCTTGGATTTATATCGTTCGTGACATATAATGTAAATGTCTAAATACTTCATTGTATTTTTAAATAGTTTTCTATGGTGGGACCGCAGTTTGAACTAAATGGGTAGAATGATCCATAGTGACACAGACTTCCACATCCAGTTCGTAGTGTTGGAGTGTCTGTGTTCTCTCTTGTGCCGTAAGCACTCTGATATCACCCCATTCCACAAGCATGAGGCCGCTGTTACACACACTCACTAAGAGAACATAGAAAGTCTTTGTGGTTAATTAGTCTCACTCTGAACTTTTAAAGAGCCCGTATGCTACATTTTTCTGTGTGTTATGTTTTTTCTAGAGGTCCACTTGCACTGGCTGTGTGGGTATATGTACCAAAACATAATAACAATACAAGAATAACTTCAGTGTGAGTGGGTGAGGCTAAACCTCTGTAGGCTGAATAGGTGGTTATGTGTAAAGGGGTTGTTTTCATCACAAAAACAGTGAATTCTGAATGGGCTGTTATTGCAGCTTATTTTCTGTATATGTACTGCATGGACTGGGGAGTGAAACTAGAACTGTGTGTGTATTACAGACATTATCAGATTCTTTTATTCCAGAAAAGTGTGTTTTTATTTTTTTCAATTTAGAACAAAGAACCATGTTAAAGAAATAAGTAACATAATTATTGGCACCCTTGCCCCTCCATGCCAATAAAGGTTTCCCAAATACATGCCAGAAGAAAGCTTTTTCTTTAATTGAATCAGTAATATATATACAGTCATATGCAAAAGTTTGGGTGCCTGTTGTGAAATTATGTTTTGTTGATTTTCTGCAAGAAGATAACTGAACACATCCTCTAAAGAGAACACACTTCTGCTCACTTTAAAGCACAGTTACTGCTTATTTGCTGAATTTAACGTATTGGGTAAAAAAAACTAATGTGCTGTATATATATGTCCATTTTATCAGGTCCTTTTTCCATATAGGTGCACTTTGTAGTTCTACAGTTACAGACTGTAGTCCATCTGTTTCTCTGCATACTTTGTTACCCTGTTCTTCAATGGTCAGGACCCTCACAGAGCAGGTACTATTTGGGTGGTGGGTCATTCTCAGCACTGCAGTGACACTGACACTGTGACACACTGTGGTGGTGGTGGTGTGTTAGGGTGTGTTGTGCTGGTACGAATGGATCAGACACAGCAGTGCTGCTGGAGTTTTTAAACACTTTAGTGTCTCTGAGGATAGTCCACCAACCAAAAATATCCAGCCAACAGTGTCCTGTGGGCACTGATGAAGGATTAGAGGATGACCAACACAGTGTGCAGCAACAGATGGGCTACAGTCTCTGACTGTACATCTACAAGGTGGACCAACAAAATAATTGTGTCTACCTGAGTGGACACAGTGTGTACTAACTCCAGCATCACTGCAGTGCTGAGAATGACCCACCACCCAGATAATACCTGCTCTGTGGTGGTCCTGTGGGGGCTGACCATTGAAGAACAGAGTGAAAGGGGGCTAACACAGTATACAGCTGTATTTATGTGTATGTATGGATGTGTGAATGGGTGAATTTTTTTTTTTTTTTTAACATTGGCTGATGGCCGTCTGATTCTTTTCACAGTGGAGGGTGGACAGAGGGCCATCATCTTTAACAGAATTGGAGGCATGGAGATGAATACAGTGCTTTCTGAGGGGCTTCATTTCAGGTTTCAAATTTTTACACAGTTATAAATTCACGCATTTGAAAGGCTTCAGATGCTTTTCATGTAATTTTCTTAAATTAGTGCACACTGATGATGTTAATAGGATGGCAGTGGCATTACTGGGAATCAAACTCTGTGTCCCAAATAATAATAATGCTTATAGAAGCAGTGCACCTGCAGAGCTGCAAATCTTGCCTATATTGTGATTTTAAATATATTATTATCTAATACAGTTGATATTTTCCTTATTCTGTGTATTCCCATTGGCAAATCTTTAAGTGAGAGAACTTTAAATCTTCTCTTTGGTAACGGTCCATTATTGCTGTTTCACTGTTTATAGGATGCCGTGGTTCCAGTACCCGATCATCTATGACATCCGAGCCAGACCCAGGAAGATTTCATCTCTCACAGGAAGCAAAGGTGACTTTTTATTTGCTACATTTCATATTTTAACAGCAAAATCATATAATATGGCAGGGAAGAGCTATAAAACATCTTCATCTTCAACATTTTTCAGTTTTGGACATAATTTGAAAATACCTGTTGCTCTTTACATTGTGTGTAAATTTCATGGAGAATGGACCAAAAGAAATGCCCCAAAATTACTTGCGAAAACGTCTGGTTCCATTGACTTGCATTAAAAGTAAAGCAGGTTTTTTCCTTCTCCTGTAAAGTTACCATTTTGGAGATACTAGGTTTTGTTCAGACAGCAGCGCTATATTAAATGTTGTTATATATTCAGAATTATTTTGGATGTGTAGATAAATGGGTTCCTGTTCTGACCGAAGCTCTTTTGGAAAATCTGTGTCCTCCTGCAGACCTTCAGATGGTGAACATTGGTCTGCGTGTGCTGTCCCGACCTGTGGCTTCCAACCTACCCTTTCTCTATCAGCACCTGGGGACAGACTATGACGAGCGTGTGCTGCCGTCCATTGTCAACGAGGTGCTGAAGAGTGTGGTGGCCAAATTCAATGCCTCACAGCTCATCACACAGAGAGCACAGGTACACCACCACACCCACATTGCTGCTTTAAACAGTGGGTTAAATTTCCAAAATAACACAGCATTTTATTTATTAATTGAGATGTTGGCAGTTTTCGCCTTTCAAAATGCACCACCATTCCACAGAAATCACAATTTTCAATAATATAAAACCAATTTTGTTGCAGCAGCTTGTATAAAATGGCTGTGATATGATGTTAGTCCTCTACAGTTTCACAGGTTTGAAATCATTTTTAGAAGCGAATGAAGAAATGAGGAAAATAATGAACAGATATGTAGATGATTCTAAAGTGGCTGAGAAAGCTGTAAAATAGGGGTGCAGGAAAAATTGATTCTTAGATGCATCGCGATGCAGACGTGGGCGATTCTGAATCGATTCATAAATGTCAAAAATCAATTTTTCTAAATATTTAATTTGTAACATAATGTTGACGGAACGCAAAGGGCGGAACTTGGAAGCGTAGCGCCCGGACAGTTTGTGGCGGCACATAACAAAAACTCTACTGGGTGAGTGAGAAATCCGACCGGCTCCCTCTGCATTAAAGCCAGGTTAGGTCAGGAGTCACAACACAAATGATAAGAAGAGCCATTTTGTCCTTTCAACAAAAATCAAACCACCTTGGGAGCCACAACATTTAATGTCCAGTATCTGATAATGTGCTAGTTTAGGCTAAAAAATATAAACAAAAACGTGGACTTACTTTGTTCTGCTTTAAGCTTTAGCTGTAGCCGCTTTTCTTCCAACTCCGCCAGAAAACTTTGTCCTCAAAAGTTGAAGAGTTTCTTGTAAAATGTCTCTCCATGTTCGACTGTTTTACGAGGCTGAAGTCGCTTCTCACTCGCCAGCTTCTTGCTGAACTTTCCCGTTCCACCTTAAATTCTGACTGAGGCGCCGAATGTAAAAACGGCACCATTTAAGGTGGAACGGGAAAATTAGAGAAGCGACTTCATCTTCGCAACTTTTTAGTGTTTGACAGTCTCTCGTTGCAGATTTAACGTACCAGGAAACCAACTGCGCTGCTTATAAATGTGAATAAGTCCATTCATCTCCAAATGTTCGTCTTTCTCTTTTCCTAAAACTACAAAGTCCTCACACAGTAAGAAAATAGAAATCATGTATAGAAAAAAAAGATGCATCGATAATCATTTTATAATCGCATCGCAGCCTCAGAATCGTAATCGAATCGTGAGGTGCCTAGAGATTCCCACCCCTACTGTAAAACATCAAGAATATTCTGAACTTTAAATGTTTACATTAAAGTTATCGCACATTAAGTTATTATGATTGATTTAAAACTTTTGAGCAGTATTCTAGTTATACAGTCTTATGAAAAGGTTCGGGTACCCCCAGTCAGTTTTGGTTGACTGTGAATAAGTTAACACATCCTCTACAGAGAACACACTTCTGCACACTTAAATGCACAATTACAGTTTATTTGATGAATTAATGGGGGGAGATGACTTAATTTGGTCTGAGCAAAAGTTATGGCACGTTTTATATTTAGTGATTTAATTTTTTCCAATATGTTAAATGATGGAAATTTTCTACTAAAATTTGCAGGAAAATGATATTTAAAAACAAAGTAAACTGTTTTTATTTATGTTTTATTTATTTTTTCAATATGTTAAACTCATAAATGCAACATAGAATAGCAGATAACGGAAATTATGCACCAACATTTGCAGAATGTAACTAACTTTCACTCAGAAAATCAACAGTACATGTAATTGACAGGGGGTGTTTAAACTTTTGCACATGACTGCATATTCATTCCTTCGTATATTAGAAATATACCCACAACTGTCTTTTTTAAACCTTACGCGTAGGTGTCACTGCTCATCAGGAGGGAGCTGATTGAGAGAGCTAAGGACTTCAACATCATTCTGGACGACGTGGCCATTACAGAGCTGAGCTTCAGCAGGGAATACACTGCTGCAGTAGAGGCCAAGCAAGTCGGTACGGACTGCAATACCCACAATGCACTGTGCCATGGAAGGAATTTTTTTGCTTGCAGTTGGAATTCAGTACTTAAACCTTGATTAACAGCAATAGACTTTCAGTTCATAATGGCGTCCACTAGGGGGCACTGTTGTCATTTGATGTCATTCAGCAGCCTGCGTAACAACTACATTCTCAGTGTCTGCGCTCAGTGAAGACCTCTCATACCTCAAAGCACTTAAGTTTCCCTATCTTTCCACTTTTATCTGTGAATGTTCTTCATTTGTCTTTTTCTCATGTTCAGCCCAGCAGGAGGCCCAAAGAGCCCAGTTCTATGTGGAGAAGGCCAAGCAGGACCAGAAGCAGAAGATCATCCAGGCTGAGGGAGAGGCCCAGGCTGCTAAAATGGTACTTTACCCTCTTTGCACATGTTCCAAACTCATGCTCTTTCATTTACACACACACACACACGCGCACACACACACACACACACACACACACACACACACACATCATCTAAGCCGCTCATCCTTCTGGGTCGCGGTGGGGTGCTGGAGCCTATCCCAGCTGTCATTGGGCGGAAGGCAGGATACACTCTGGACAGGTCGTCAGTCCATCGCAGGGTTTCATTTACACTGTTGCTCATAAGTTTAAAATCACTGTTTTAAATCATATAGAGATTCTGTTTGCAGATAAATATGAAAATGATCTGTTATGCTAGAACTGTGTTACATCACAGATTTTAAATAACAAGTAGAAAGCTGTAAAAAAACACTAAGAAATGTTAGATGTGTCCTGACTAATGAACAGAGCTGTAGACGATCAGAATCCCTCCTATATGAACAGTAGATAATTGATAAATAATTGATATTTATTCATTTGTAACTTTTGGATGTTGCCAAAATAATTGAAATATTCAGTAAAACTTAGAAAACATCTTTTGTCTCCAGTTAATCATATGCAAAGAGGCAATATCATGTAAAACTGAATTTTACAAATTTTTATGAAGTTTTTAAACATGATTCACTGCTCAGTCCATTCAGTCCATATGTAGACACTAATCTGCCAAAAATGACCTGTTTTAATTTGAATTTAATTTTAATTTTAATTTTCTTGCTGCTGTGATGTCACAAAAAACAATTCATTTACATATACCCACCTATTCAGCCTATAGCAGTATAGCTCCACCTATTCACGCTGAAGTTATAAGGAGTGTTTCAGTCTGGGTTTTATATGAGGCACAGCCAATCAGAGCAGCAGTCATTTACATATATCCATCATAAGGGCACATTAACAAAAGCCTGTTAAATAAAGAGAGGGTGGAAAATGGCCATGACTGTTTTTGGTACATAAGCCCATGCAGATGTAATAAGAGGACCCCCAGAAAAAATTTAAATGCTAGATATGCTAGAAAAATGTAAGATATGGACCCTTTAAGTCTACAGAGAATAAGCAATTACTGTAAATAGGATAATAAGAAGTATTAGTATGACAAGTGGGTCTCACTTCATAAACCAGTTAAGCAGTATAACACAATTATGGTCCGTGGTTCTCTTTTGAAAGCGTTTAATGGCTTGTCGTAATCAGTGGTTCCTGTGCTGCTGTAATTAATAAGCTAATATAATTTGCACTGATCACACAGGGAAAAGATTTAAAGGTGTAGTTCAGAGAGTTGCCCCTCAAATTCAGTATCTGTTCCACAGTTTGGTCCCTGGTCGCGTTGTGCACTTTGTTCTTAGGGGTTTTGTTTTGCATAAATGAAGTGGTCATTTAAAGCTGCAGTTTTTGTCCTCAGTGTCCTGTGAAAAACCAGTACAGTTAGCCTTTTTTCCTCCTGATATGATGCAATGCTGCGTATGAAACAGGCCGTAGGTCAGTGGATATGTGCTGACTTCAGGCAGAAGCCGAAACCCAGGGTATGCAGGACAGTGTTAAAGGAATATCTGCTGTATCTGTAGTGTACGGTCAGTTACGGTCATTTCTTTATACTTCGTAAAACAAAAGAAAACCGTTTCTTCAAAACACCTACAATGGAGGCCAATGGGCAGATGGGATTGGCTTCTATTGTAGTGCATTTCATCACTCTGGTCTCAAGTTATTTGGATAGTCCACTACAGTCCCCTATAGATTATCTACAGATGTTCAAGTTGTTAACAAACTGTCTGTTGAAACTCTAAACAGTGGTGGGGTTAGGGTTAGGACTATGGCCAGGGTGAGGGTTGGGCTTAGGTTTTGGGTTTCAGTTAGGATTAGGATTAGAGCAGGTTTAGAGTTAAAGGAAAATATGGTCAATTTAGTAGATATTTAGTTGAATGTAACTTGAAAGTAAATTAAATATCTACAAAGCATCTGAAGTGGATCGTCCAAATAAAGTGTTCCCAATTTTCTTACCTCTTTTAGGTATAGGGAGTGTGTTGACTACAGATGCAGCAGATCAAGTTCAAGAGGCTTTATTGCCATTTCAGCTATATACAATTACGCAGTGAAACAAAACAACATTCCTCCAGGACCAACACAGGAACACAAGTGCAAAACAATGCAATATACACAGTGCAGACAATACAGTACAATAAATAAATACAAAGACTTACAGTAAATACAAAACAGAGCACAGGCAGTAAACGGTACTGAGAGTATGTGGAGCTGTGCAAAGGAGGATGGAACATACTATGGCATATTAGCAGATTAGCAGACAGCATATATGAGCATAGCAGTCACTGAGGTAGCAACCAGAACAGCAATGGAATACAGTATTTGGCTGATAACAGTATTCAGTTTAGTAGATAAGGGTTAGTTTGAAACACAATGGAGTATTTCTTTAAGGCAGCTCTATACTGGGGCTCCTACTACACCCCTATATAACATCAACACATTCATTATGAAAGAGAAATGCTGATTTCCAGGAGACAGAGGGCCGTTTAACACTGACGTACATCTGAGACTGAAAGCCCAAACATGATTCACATACTTTATTTACTCTGTTTTCTCAAGTTGCTTTTATTTGACTTCTTACGATCTCAAGTAATTTATGTTCTTGTCAGAACAAGAACGCTGGGCCTCATTCACCAACAGCTTCCTAAGTTTGTTCCTAAATTGGTTCTTGAGAAAGGTCCTAAGAAAAGGTCTACGTCAGATTCATGACGTGTTCTTAAACCGCAGAACTGTTCTCACCTTTGAGCTCCTGAGTGTGTGTAGATTCTGTTCTTACCTGTTAACTAATGAATTAAAACACAGTAAGACATTGGTTTAGTCATCAGCGGACAGGTTTGGTGGGTCCCATAAGAAGTAAAACCAAAACCAAAGTTCAGTTTCTGAGTCATATGTTGGTTGTTGTCTGATGCAACAGGCTAATGTAAAGTTTACGCATTGCATCTTCTCGATCGAGCTTTAACGCTCAGTAGTGATCAGATAATTTGATAATAGATAATCGATATATTATTTGTGATTTCATAACTTCTGGATGTTTTACTTGTATTCCATTTGCAGTCTTGCTAAACCCCACTGGACTAATCCTGTCGTGAGAATACGCATTAACTCTGTGTTTCCTTGTTTGTTTATTGAATATCCCAGCTGGGCGAGGCTGTTTCGAAGAATCCTGGCTACCTTAAACTCCGACGCATCAGAGCCGCCCAAAATATCGCCAAGACGGTGAGACGAGTGCTTCAGACTAGCCGAACCTCATTAATATTATTAATGTTCATCCTTTACCAAATAAAAATAGTTGTAGTAGAACACAAATGAACTGTAAGATTTCTATAGTGCTACATAATAACTCCATTATGACCACTGTAGTTCTGTCTACAGTAATCTGTAATACTTGTACAGTACACTATACTACTATAATAGTGACTACTATAATACTATGTAGTAATTGACTGTAAGACTCCTTTAGGAATCCTATATAAATTCCTGTGGGTCTTTTTTTAAAGGGATATATAACTGTACTGGGTTGTGGGTTCCTTTTGATATTTTTGTGATATTTTTTGCAAAAGGAAAGCCGGAGTTATTAGTAAACAGTGTGAGTTGTTGTTCCTGTGTGTTCTGTAGGTGGCAAGTTCACAGAATAAGGTGTATCTAAATGCAGACAGTCTGGTGTTGAACCTGCAGGACGACTCCTTCAACAAGTAAGCCACTATCCTTCCCTCCTTTTGCTCTAGCTTTTTTACCGTAAAGTGATAGTTTGGTGAAAAATCAAATCGACACAATATCCCCTCGTCTTACTCCAAACATAGTTCGTCAGCCAAGATGTGTTTGGCGTCTGAAGCTTCTTTAGTTTTACTCTGGCGGCTAATGTAGCTAACAAGTAATGAAAGCTTTCACCTGGTAGTGGGCGATATGGCCAAAAATGTATATCCCAGTATAATTCAAACTTCTAACCGTTTCGGGACATAACATGGTATAGATTTGTTTTCAAATAAAACCGTTTAAGATGCTTAAGTATTTAGCCTTTTTTGTAAGTAATTTAAGTAAACTTTTTTGGAGTTTAGTAGTGGATTATTATTCTGGAACTTCGCTTCAAAGTAGCGACAAAGGAAAATATTTTTAATTGTGCAGAAGAGTAAAAACAAAACTGAACAATATGTAGATAAACTGATGTCAATATTGCTTTCACTAGACCCGCTGACCCAGCAAAAATGTGCTAAATGGTGTTTTTCGTCCTAATTTCTTCAAGGCTGAAGTTGTCTTCTTATTCAGCAGCGTATTGATCGAATTTTCCATTCCACCTTAAATGGAGCAGCATACAGTCTGGCTCCAGTGCAGTCGCCTCAGTGTAACTGCTGCGCCAGTTAAGGTGTTTGTTAAAATAGGATTCACTGTATTTCTCAAGTCATTTGTCTCATACTTGAGTCTCATATACTCATACCTCCGACAGCCAGATGCTGCTGGAATTTGAGCAGGTGTGGGTGTTTTCTGATAAACAGAAGCTGCTAACTAATACAGTAAAGTTTTCCCACATCAAGCACTCTTTTATATAATGACTCGTGTGGCATGTTCATAATGATTAAATGCTACAGTGCAGTAGCTGCCTAGTGTAAGAATATTGTCATGTTTTTATGGTACAGATACTAGTTCAGCGCTGTAGTTTATGTTGGAGCAAGGTCTCAGTGTTCTTTGGTAGTTTCTTCCAGTCCAAACTGCAAATAGTCCTGTAGGATATTGAAACACAGTGAAATTCATTGTTTTTTTTAATGATTATTTTATTGTAAATGCTGAACACACAAACTGCTACTTAAAAAATGACATTCAGAATGCATTTAATATTATAACATTAAAAACATAATACAATATTGTGGATTTGGAGCAAGACGGGAACTTTTGGTTCTGCTGATTATGTAAGCGGAAGGTAACCACACCATTGATGTGTGCGTCATGCTCTAGTTGGTTCAGCGGATCAGCTGACCTGATCAGCTAAATTTGACACCTTTGAGCCTCCTCCATTCAATAGGCACTTCTGCAAACAGCCATTCACAGCTTCATCTCGTAACCATGAACAGACTCAGCACCACTCGTGCTAATTTACAGCCCTGAAACCTGCACACATTCGCTTATTTCCTCTGACCTGAAAAAGTACTTGATGCTGCCACACATTATGTGCTTTGGAAAGGAAAGGAGAACTTAGGATTGAACACATCGACGGAAAGAGTGAACTCTTGATTCAGTGAATAAGATTTATTTTGCACATAAGACAAGTAAACAAGCATGTTAGACTAATAGATATTTTAGAGAACAAAATTTGTTGGCATCTTAGATTAAAGCTTTGATTTCACTGTATTTTTTATTGTTTTTTTTTATTATTATTACACGTCAATGCATGTGGACAACACATTCAATAAAATAGAGCAGTCCCTATTAAGACATCAACTAGGCACATGATCTTAACTATCATTTACAGAAATATTTGGGTCATTCTCCATTTGGAGTGGGAATTCAGGTGGATACATTTTTAAAAAATCAATTTCTTTCATCCCAAAACTAAATAATCTTAATGTGTCCATTAACATCTCCTATTATCATATATGCAAAAAGTACAGCTTAATTCCAAATGTTTTTTACAGTCACTGGTGTTGTATGAATATGGTGTAACACCAGTGACTGTGACTCCAGTGACATTCTGGTTAAAATTCAGGATTTTGTAAATTGGCTGACTCATTGGTGATCAAGTGACCTTGTGCAACTATTTAAAATCAGCAATAAAAATGATATACAGCATTATTTTGACAAAATTTTAATTACCCAGCCATTAAAGCACATAACACCAGTGACACATAGAGGTTATGTGCTGTCTGATAAACAAAATTATTACTAAATTAATGAAATATTGTGAGCGAGTGTGACTCGCCTTCTCATGCCTCGAGATGCTTCCTCTCTGATGAGCCTCGACCCAAAGAAGCAGTTTAATAGAGCTGAAAAGCTTGTGCTGGGGCTGAATCTCAAATGGCTCCCTGCTCCCTACATAGTACACTACGTAGGAATTTAAATACTGGATCCTGCAGCCCAACAGTGCAAAATGGGACTCGGACACATCTGCACTTGATAAATGATGCACTGTTTGGCTGTAGAGGCTAGAATTTCTGAACTTTCATAGCTAGGACACTATTCAGGGAGTACAGAGCCGTTTGGGATTCAGCCTGGGTTTGACGTGACTTCTGACAAACGTGCGTAATCCATTCAAGTGACGTTCTTTAGACTTTTATACTGCTGTTTTATAGTTAATCATACCATATGTGCTTTAATTCAAGCCTGTGATATTAATGATGGAGTTATTTAGGCTGTTGGCTCTTTTAGTCTGTTAGCCAGCTGACCAGACGTTCTAGTTAAGAACATAAGCTGTAAGCCCCTCAGTTTAAACAAATAACGGGTTCTTACTTCATCCGTACACTCGGTGATCCATGCGAGCAGCATAAGAGTCAAAAATGACTCCATTAATAGCACGAGGGTTTTTTCGTGCCGTGGCGTAGTGATACACAATTCAATTGCTGTGATGCGGTCATAAATGTGCATAAATCGTGGATTTTACAATGGACTTCGAACGCAGCTCAGCCAGTCAGATTTTAGGACCGGAACTATCAGTTTTATAAAGGTTATAATAAAACTCAAACCTGAGGAAGACTTTCATGATGATAAACCAGTATACTGACCACTGCTAGTGCAGATCCTTGTTAATACTTTTTTATTAATATTATTTTTGTGTCCTTTTTTGCAGGTTGTCTTTGGGGAAGTGAGAGTCGTCCCTGCGGATCGTGTGCATTCCATATGTTGGCAGTCTGTGCTGTATTTAACGTCTTCTCTGAGTTTGAGTGTACCTCCCTAAGCAGTGCCTGTCTCTCAGTGCAGTGATCTGGGGCCACAGTCCAGAGCAGGGTTGGGTGGCCTTTAAAAACACACTAACACACACACGTACAGAAGTATTACACAAAAATAGCCTTTCAGAAAGCATGATCAATAGCAGCAGTAGCTCACAAAGGGCTTGCGATGCACATGAAGCTTACATAAGCAGGGCGTAATCAGTCATGGTTTGATATTTGCCCCTGAAGAATCCGCACAGTATCCATGTTACAAATGAGGGCATGTTATTATGAATGAAGGCATCAGGAAATAGAGTAAAATGTCATTTATTAACTCTGTCATTGATCCATTTGCCAGACCCAGATTAAGCCTAAACCTAGGAATTATATTATGAATATGTGTAAAGTAATCTGAAGGCCACTCAACTGTTAGCTAGTGTTTACAGTGCCTGTTTATTTTTAGTTTGTGTTTATTCCCACCAGGGACCTGCTGGTTCCTCTTTGCGACGTGTATACTGACGAGATTAAAGCACTGTGAGGAGGTTTCATTAAATATTTTGAATTTTTGAGACTAGCAGTGGCTATTTTTTTTCTTCCTTTGCGTCATTATCATAAAAGGCCGAGATGTTCTTGGAGATGCTTGTGGCTGCTGGCCTGTATATAATAGCTCAACTAGACATGCTAATGTGGCTTATATTGAAAGCTAATAGCCACCAGTTACCCTGATGTCACTGGCATAATGCTTTTTGACAGCTGCAGTCGTATGCAAAAGTTTAAACACCCCTAGTCAAATTAAATGTTTTGTTGATTTTCTAAGTGAAAATAAGTGAACACATCCTCTGCAGAGACACACTAAATATGGCATTTATCTGCTAGTTTTAGTGCCCAGTTTCTGTGTATTTGCTAAAAAAAAAAACAAATGTAAACTGTTCCATAAGATTAATTGTGCATAAAAGTGGGTATTAAAATCATGTAGCGGATGTGTTAACTTTTGGAAAATCATATAGAAAATCAGCAAAACATATAATTTAACCGGTTGCATTCAAACGTTTGCATACAACTGTATATGATTTCATTAATTCTCAGCTTAATAAGCCTTTTCGACTATTTCTGTCTGATCTACACTCAGCTGTCTTTTTCTAAGAGATCTCTGGTATAAGGACATGAAAAGGACAAAACTGGTTGTAGATCAGCTGTCTTGTTCTCTTAAAGGGGAATTCGACCAATTTTTTGAAATTTCAGAATAATTCAGTTGAAATTTGAGTAACTGAGAGTGGTTGGATGTGAAATTTCTTTACAGTGGTGGTGGTAGGAACCAGGGTTTGTGATGTCTTCAACACAAATATAGCCATTTTACTTACTGTCCAAAACCAGCAGTGAACCTGTGTCTTCTTTATATGTAATGTTGATTACGGTACAGTAGTGATAAATCTGAACTTTTATGCCTTACAAGGCACTGCATGCACATCTGTGGATGTGTATATGTATATGTGTGTGTATATATACACTCCAATCAGGCATAACATTATGACCACCTCTTTTTTTCTCCACTTACTATATAGGTGCACTTTGTAGTTCTACAGTTACAGACTGTAGTCCATCTGTTTCTCTGCATACTTTGTTAGCCCCCTTTCACCCTGTTCTTCAGTGGTCAGGACCCTCATGGACCCTCACAGAGCACATATTATTTAGGTGGTGGATCATTCTCAGCACTGCAGTAACACTGATAGTGTGTGTTGTGCTGGTACGAGTGGATCAGACACAGCAGTGCTGCTGGAGTTTTTATATATAGTTTTATGTAGTAAATGGAGCTGATAAAATGGACAACGAGCATAGAGACAAGGAGGTGGTCATAATGTTATGCCTGATTGGTTTACATGTGTGTGTGTGTGTGTATATATATAATGTGTATATATATGTATGTATGTATATATTATTTTAGGCCCAAAACCTTCTCAAATCTGTCTCGGCAGTGTATTCATAACCATTTTCTGTATAAACTTTGTGTGAGGGAGCTTTTAGAGGCATTAAATTGCTTTGGATGTCTGATTCCTATCACAATCATTGATAATAAGCTTTTTTAGAAATGGAGCATTTCACGTCAAATCACTCTGAATGACTTCGCTTACAGCTTAATGCAGAAATTTTGAATAACCAGTGGAATTCCCCTTAGAGACGCTTTCTGATAATTTGCGTTGCGGTGCAGTTCATTTTCTGATCAGTAGGTGGCGCGAAACACAACCTCTATCGGTTCTGGTTCACAAATGTCCTCCAGAGAAGCACTTTGTAGTGGGTGAGATGAGAGATGCATCATCATGTAGAGGAAGAGGGAGGCAGTGAAGGACTCTTTGACTGTGTGTGATACGTGCGCAGTTCTAATCTGCTCCGTTTTAATGCTCCGCTGAATGTTTCACACGAGCAGCAGCGGAGCCTCTTGTGGCTATAAAAAATCACTGCTATAAAAATCTCCACAGGGCTCTGTGAGCTACAGAGGGGGCTGGGTGCTTCTCCCCCTCATTAATATTCATGGTGAGGGAGTGGCATGGATGGAGGGGGGGCAGTGACTGGCAGATGGAACCCCGCCCCTTCCATATGTCTCAGCCTATAGGATTCAGCTGTATCTTTTGAATGTGAGCCAGGCCTTATATGGCCGGGAGGCTGGTGGAGCAGCAGTGCAGCGCTGGGCCGTAAAGGCCCGAGTGTTTAGGCCTCTGAGTGAGACGGAGGCGCCATTCTGACCCTGTTTCACTCCCAAACCGCAGAGTTAATCCTGAACCGGCCCTCGTTTGATCTGCTCAGCCGAAGCCTTCTAACGCACACGCTAACCTGCAGATATGCCACACCTTCCTCTCTCTTTCCTTTTCTCTCTGTTTCCTTCCCCTCTTCCTCCTGTTCCCTAACCTCTTTTCTCGCCATCTTGTTCTTCCCTCTTTCCCTCCCTTCTTTCCTCCCCTCCGTTTCTCTCCCTTTCCTTCCCCGGTTTTCTCTTCCCTTCCCTCCCTTTTTTATTCCTCCCCTCTCTTTTTCTCCCGTCTTTCCTCCCCCCTCTTTCTCTCCTTTCTTTTCTTCCCCAGTTTTCTCTCTTTTCTTTTTTTCTTCCTCTCCTCTCTTTCTCTCCCTTCTTCCCTGGTTTTCTCTCCCCTACCCTTCCTTTTTTCTTCCTCCCCTCTCTTTCTCTCCTTTCTTTCCTTCCCCAGTTTTCTCTCCCCTTCCCTTCCCTTTTTCCTCCTCCCCTCTCTTTCTCTCTCTTCTTTCCTCCCCTCTCTTTCTCTCCTTTCTTTCCTTCCTGTTTTCTCTCTCCTTTCTTTCTTTTTTCTTCCTTCTCTTTCGCTCCCTTCTTTCCTTCCCCAGTTTTCTCTCTCCTTCCCTTTTTTCTTCCTCCCCTCTCTCTCCCTTCTTTCCTTCCCCAGTTTTCTCTCCTCTTCCCTTCCGGTTTTCTTCCTCCCCTCTTTCTCTCCCTTCTTTCCTCCCCTCTCTTTCTCTCCTTTCTTTCCTTCCCGTTTTCTCTCTCTTTCTTTATTCTTCCTTCTCTTTTGCTCCCTTCTTTCCTTCCCCAGTTTTCTCTCTCCTTCACTTCTTTTTTCTTCCTCCCTTCTTTCTCTCCCTTATTTCCTTTCCCAGTTTTCTCTCCCCTTTCCTTCCTTTTATCTTCCTCCCCTCTCTTTCTCTCCCTTCTTTCCTTCCACTTTCTTTCCCTCTATTCCCTCTCCTCTTTCACTCCCTTCTTTCCTTTCTCCCTTCTTTCCTCCCCCTTTCACTCCCTTCTTTTCCTCACTCTTTCATTCCTAACCTCTTTTCCTCCCTTCCCTTTCTTGCTTTCTTTCCTCTCTGTCCCCATTTTTTTCGTCTCCTTCCCTCCCCTTTTCTTTCTCCCTTCTTTTTTTCCCTCTGTTCCCTCTCCTCTTTCACTCCCTTCTTTCATTTCTCCCTCCTTTCCTCCTTCTTTCGCTCCCATGTTTTCCTCGCTCTTTCATTTCTTCTCTTTTCCTTCATTTTCTTTCTCTCCTGTCTGTCTTTCCCCTCTTTCCCTCCCCATTTTTTCCCTCTCCTCTTTCACTCCCTCGTTCCCTCCTGCTTTCATGTCACACCCCTCTTTTCCTTTCTCTTCCGCATTTCCGTATCTTTTTCTCTACCTTCTTTCACTCCCCTCTTTTCCTCCCTTCTTTTCTTCTCTTGCTTTTCTCTATCTTTCCTTCCCATTTTCTCTCACTTCTTTCCTCCCTTTTTTTCTCTTTTCTTTCCCTCCCTCTTTCTCTTATGTCCCTCCCTTCTTTCTCCCTAACCTCTTTTCTGTCTAACTTTCCTTCCCCATTTCTTTTCCATCTATTTCCCTTCCCTCTTCGCCTCCCTTCTTTCCTTCCCTCTCTTTCTCTCTTTCTCTCTCCCTCCCCTCTTCACTCTGTCACTTCCGCCTTTCTCTCCTCATCCCCCCCACTTCTTTCCCTCCTCTCCCTCCTCTCCCTCCCTCCTCTTCCCGGCTGTGCATAAACAAGAGCAGATTACCGCTCAGCTGGTTCATCGCCATGGAAACGCTGACCTCACAGCAGGACGGGAGATCTGGGCCAGTCACCATGGCGATCGGCCAGGGCGTTAGACTGGATCTCCGGCTCTGAACGCTTCACACTGGCTGCTCTCTGCTCTTTCTGGTGGAGAGCAGTAGCTGGGCCATGTTGGACCAGTTCTGTCCCACTGCACCACTCAGTCCTGCTGAGACCCGTCTGGGTTTTTTTTTCCCCTTCTCTTTTTTGCTTGTGTCATGCCTGCGGCGTGTGTGTGTGAGAGCTGTGCTAACTGCGCTAAAAGCGTGACCTACATCCCACTTCAAAGTCAGGATGCTCTGCAGCTCATGCATGACTGCAGTATTCCTGCTCCAAAATGCTCTGTGATGTACAGGAAGTTCACTTCTGGGGACACGAGCTTAGTCACGAGTGGTCTGTAGTACAGGCCCTAATACAGCATGGACATATACATGATCCTGAAAATTTAAAACAGCATATTAATCCATTTAGCCCATGTGAAAATGAATTATAGTAGTAGTAGATGAATTTGTATATCACTCCTATAGGAGCCTTAATGTAAATTGAGACAATTACTATAATTTACTATACTATAAGCACATCTGTAAAGGAAATATATTTCGTCAATCTAGTATGCATTTCCAAATATGTGTAAATATTAAATATGTGCATATATTTTAATATATATGTAAATTGCGACAATATATCCCATAGGCATATCCATAAATACACCGATCAGGCATAACATTATATTTCCACGCTCCTTGTTTCTACGCTCATTGTCCATTTTACGAGCTCCACTTACTATATAGGTGCACTTTGTAGTTCTACAATTACAGACTGCAGTCCATCTGTTTCTCTGCATACTTTGTTAGCCCCCTTTTATCCTGTTCTTCAGTGGTCAGGACCCCCATGGACCCTCACAGAGCAGGTACTATTTGGGTGGTGGATCATTCTCAGCATTGCAGTAACACTGATGTAGTGGTGTGTTAGTGTGTGTTGTGCTGGTCTGAGTGGATCAGACACAGCAGTAGAACTACTATTGTAGAACTACAAG